TAGGCTTGCTTGGTGGCGTGGACGGAGGTGGTGTAGGCGAGGTAGGCGGCTTTGTAGAGGAAGAACGCGCAAGGGGATCTGGGACTATGAGAACACTCACCAACACCCTAGCAGTTCATTGAGAATTCTGTGAATGAATGACCCATATGGGTGGATCCCCAGACCAATGTCACAGAGAGGTGGGTAGAAAGATGTAACATGTTCCCAAACTTGAACTTATCCTTTAAAGCTAGACACTAGACATTAGTTTTAGTGTTGGTTAGAATGGGAAAAGGTTAAAGTGGTAGTAAATCGCAAGAAAGTAAAAAAAAAGTCCTCTGCAAGGTAATGTCATAAAGTGCTAGTATGAATCACATACTAGCACATTATGTAAAACTTACCCTAAAATTAAGCCCTCCAGTGGCACGTTGTCACCACTGCAGATGCTTCCATCTTCACCCTGTCCTTATTCCGGGTTTACGATTTCCAGTCATCTGACAGACTAGGCCGTGATGACATTACTCCCACGCATGCGCGTGGAAGTCCCAGGAAACGACACACAGCTCTGAAGGAACAGCACGGGTATGCTGTTCCTTCAGAGTGCATGTGTCCACTTTAGGAAAGAGAGAATATCTCCTAAACGGTGCATGTTTAGGAGATATTCATTTTACCTACAGGTAAACTTTATTATAAGCCTACCTATAGGTAAAATTTTAAAAAATTAGTTTACTACCACTTTAAAAGATAAGTTCACCTTTGGGGACATGATACATATTTCGTTCATTTTTTTTACCTGCAAAAATTGTGCATTTTTTTTTAAAAAGGTGAACTTATCCTTTAAAATCTGTCAGTCTAATCCTTCAGTCTGTATCCTCACTGGGGAGTTTTCTGTGTGGTCACCATTAGAGGAAGAGAGGGGCAATATCACTGTGACCCTAGGTTCACACCTAAGCATTTTCCACAGTGTTTTGCAGAAACGCAGTACAGTCCATTTAACATGATTTCCTATGGGAGACATTCACATCTCTGCACTTTCACCCGATGCATTTTTTGGAAAGGTTCAGGGACTTTTTTGAATGAAAAAAGTTGAATTTTTGGTTCTATAGACTTCAATAGAAACGGTGCAGAAAACCATTTAGTGTGTTTTTGATGCATTTTAGCCTCATTTTTGATGTGTTTTAAATCTGTCTAGCAACAAGAAAAATTTAAAAATGTAAAACACAGGTGCAAAAAAGCAATGCAAAATGCAATGCAGAAACGGCTCAAATGCAAACTGCATAGGTGTGAACCTAGCCTTAAGGAAAACAAATAAAAAAGTGGCATATCCTATCTAAGACTTATGGAAGACATTTGACTTGAAGACTTTCAAGGTAATGCACATAATATTTTGATGCGCAATCTGTCAGCATTATTGAATTGGCCCATCATGTGTCTGGTTGCCTAGAAAAGTGATATAGACATAATGGCAAGTATGGCTGGAAAACCAGCAATAAAATCAAAGATATATTGAGAGAGCACAGATTTCTCTAAAAACTAAATTAAATAGATTTGATTACACAGCCTGAATCAGCTGCCAACAATCTATGGGGTTTATTTAATAAAAACCAGACCAACTGGAGCTTAGCTAACCACCATAGATGCCATTCAGCGATCATTTATACTTTACATTGGCAGAACAGCTTGAACTTAACTGACCGCTTTGGGTTACACCTCCCTCCAATTTGTATTCCCAGCCTCAAATAAAAGTGTAGCATGTACTAACCTGCTCGGTTTATGTATCCCTTTAGATCTAAGCTAGGTTACAACTGTTCATATCAATACGCAAGTCTACTTATATTTATATCCAGAGAAGGGGATAAGGAGAAATATTCTTAGTTTTCAATCTCAACCTCGTGAGGATACATTGCCATGTTGCACCAAAAATACAAAAAAAGAGTATGTAAACCCCAAATCTATGCTTAGTATGTTTTATGTGCTTCATTATATAATGTTTTCTCTTTTTGTGGATCTGTTGCAAAGTTTCTTAACCACTTCAGCTCTTGAAGGTTTTACCCAACAATCACCAGGGTTTTTTTCCAGGTGTTACTTTAACTGGCAATTGCGTGGTCATGTAATTTACATCATTTTTTTTTTTTTTACAAAAAGAGCTTTCTATTGGTGGTGTTTGATCACCACTGTTTTTTTTTATTTTTAATTATATGAACAAATAAAGACCAAAAATTTTGGGGAAAAAATATTACTTTCTGCTATAAAATATATTTTTTAAACATTTTTTTGAAAAAAAAATCTAATTTCTTCAACAATTTAAGCCAAAATGTATTAATCTACATGTTTTTGGTACAAAAATTCCCAATCTTTGTATATTGATTTGTTTGTGTGAACGTTATAGTGTCTACAGTATAAAACACAATGGTATATATACTGGAATTTGTATATATTTATTTTGCTATACTAGTAGGACGGTGAACAGTGGCTTATAGTGGGCTATGATAGTGTGGCATGCAATCTGACACAAACTGACTAACTGACATCCCTAATGACACTAATACAGTGATCAGTGCTAATACTATACACTGTCACTGTACTATTGACACTAGCTGGGAAGGGGTTAACATCTAGGGGAAATCAAAGGGTTAACTGTGTGCCTAACATGTATAATGTGTACTGCTTTTACTAAATGATGTGTTTGCTATGCAGAGCCATACAAAGCAGTGTGCAGGAGCTGACAGGAGAGTAGTCTATGTTGTTTATACACAGGTCTCTCTCCCGCCGGAGAAACTCGGCGATCACCGGGTGCCAGCAAGAAATCATTGGCTGGGACCCGGAGATTACCTGCACATTGCTGCCTACTTCTGGGTATTGGGCAAGTGCATGCGCACCCCCTGGCTGACACCCACTGTGATTGTACACAGCAGGAGCCTGTCAGCAAGTCCCGGCTAATGATGCACGGCCAGCATCTGCTGATCAGCTGTGTACAATTATAGCCCAGTTCTCTGTGGTTGACATTAACGGAAAGATCTCTGTATGTAGAGATCTATTAGTAAAAGCAGCACACTTTAGTAGTGTTGTGTTTCATTTCAAAACTGAATTTATTTTGGTGAATAGTTCTGTGAAACTGGAATACAATCACATAAAATGAAGTTACAATATGCTTGTAAACATCTCTCACAAATGCATACAATGAACACATTTCTTACAAATAGCTACAGTACCTAAAAATCACATTGAAATGCGATCTAGCTATGTACTTGACTTTGACAAACACAATGAAAGAACTTACAGGCATATGTGTATCAAAGGGAGGAGGGAAGCCTTCACGGGGGTGTCCTTCTGGAAGCTAAACTGAAACCAGATGTGTGAGTGAAACTTCCTGTTTTAGAATTTCAATAGACTGCAATTGCAGCGAATACCCAATAGATAGCTCCCTACTCAACACAATGATGTGACTACAGAACACACATAGTAAGGCTCCACTTACACTATGATGTTTTTCTGTTGTTTCTGCCCGCAATTTCAAAACACTTTACTAAAATAACAAATCACCCAACAGCGTGTTCAGGTGCCATTAATTTTAATGGCACCTAAAAACGTGGTGCAGTTCTGCCACGATTGTCATGCAATATGTCTCACTGCAATAGGAACAAACCGCATCTTGTGAAGCGTCACCGAAAAAAGTTCAGGAGCTTCTTTTAGGAGATACGCTTCTTGCGATGTGGTTTGCCGCAATTTATCACACAACAATTGCGGCAGAACCACACCGTATTTTTAGATGCCATTAAAATGAATGGCACCTGAACACGGTGGTGTGAGATTTATTTTAGCAATTCTGCCCTCGATTCAAATTGTCATAGAGTGAATGGGGCCTTAGGCACACATTTAACCCATTGATTGCCCTAGATGTTAAATTGTTCCCATACAGTGTGATTAGTACACTATAGTATTATCACTGATTTCTGTATTAATGTCACTGATGACAGTGGCAGATAGTTCCTTCCAGCGTCAGTTAGTGTCAGATTGCCTGCCACACCATCACAGTCCCATTAAAAGCCGCTGATTACTGCCATTAGTAGAATAAAAAAAGTTACAAATAAAAACTCCAGTATATATACCATAGTTTTCACGCAAAGCAATCAATATACACTTATTGGGATTTTTTATCAAAGACATTTAGCAGAATACATTTGGCCTAAATTTTAGTGATTTTTTATTGGATATGTTTTATAGCAGAAAGTAAAAAATAGTGGGGGTTTTTTTTCAAACTTTTTGGTCTTTCTTCATTTATATTGCAAAAAAAAAAAAACCCAGAGATGATCAAATACCACCAAAAAAGCTCTGTTTGTGTGAAAAAAAAGATATAAATTTTGTTTGGGTACAGTGCTGCTTGACCACACAGTTGCTAGTTAAAGTAGTGCAGTGTGGTATAGCAAAAAATGGCCAGGTCATGAAGGGAATAAAATCTTCTGGTGCTGGTTCATATCATTTTTATGGTTTGCTGAAATTGTCATATCCACTTATCACTTACTTACATAACATATACAGTAATTAAAGTGCTAATAAACCCAAAACTAAAAATTTAATTTATTGCAGCTTACCAATTATTAGATGGGTGTTCGCATTACTTTTCCCTTTTTCCCCTGTTTTTACCTGGTGATCTGGCCAGTAACACACCTCCTATATTAGAGGGCCTACACTCTAGATGAAGGAGCAAGAGAGACCCCTTTCGACAGCATTTGTCTAGGGGGGAGGGGAGTGCTAGATGTACTAGCAGATTTAGATACACTAACAAATTGAAACCAAACTCCAGCTCACACTTTATAAGCAGTTATAGTGACATTTTTTTTCCATTTTAGGATAAAGGTTTTACATAAATAAAAGTTAATCGTTATAAGTAGAGATGAGCGAAGTATTCAAAAATTCGATTCGACTGATTCGGCGAATTCGTGGACAATATTCGATTCGAGTCGAATATATTCGCTGTGAATTTAACTTAAAAAAGGGTGTTTCTAGGCTTCAGAGAGACTTAATATTAGTGCAGAACACTGTACCTTTAATTTAAATGCCCTTGGAGTCTGCTGGGGAAGAGAAATAATACTGTCAGTCAGTATGACATGCAGGTGAGTGCCGTCGATCTTAGAATCACCGCACACTTCACTCATTTGGCCAGTCACGGGGCCAAAACCAGTGTTTGGAGCCACAGTGTGGCGGTGGAGGCAGCAGCAATGGGAGGCCATACAGCAACCTATGACAAAATGGAAACCAGCAGGAGTGTGAGGAGACCTCAAAGTGGCACATGGCAGAGTGGGAGCAATGGGAGGCGGTACAGGGACCCATGTCACACTGTGGACCCAGCAGCAGCGTGACCAGGCGGTACGGAGGCCCATGGCAGATTACAGGCCTGGCAGCAGCAATGGGAGGCCCGTAATCTGTCAGCACCCTATGACAAAATGGAACCCACCAGCAGTGTGAGGAGACCTGAAAGTGGCACATGACAGAGTGTGGCGATGGAGACAGCAGCAATGGGAGGCCGTACAGGGACCCATGACAGACTCTGGACCTGGCAGCAGCATGAGGAGGCGGTATATAGGGGCCCATGGCAGATTAGGGGCCTGGCAGCAGCTATGGGAGGCCCGTAATCTGCCAGCACCCTATGTCAAAAAATTGAACACACCAGCAGTGTGAGGAGACCTGAAAGTGGCACATGGCATGAGAGACTGTGGACCTGGCAGCAGCATGAGGAGGCGGTATAGGGGCCCATGGCAGATTAGGGGCCTGGCAGCAGCTATGGGAGGCCCGTAATCTGCCAGCACCCTATGTCAAAAAATTCAACACACCAGCAGTGTGTGAGGAGACCTGAAAGTGGCACATGGCAGAGTGTGGCGATGGAGACAACCCACCGACTGTTTTGCTCGCTGCCAAGCTGCCACCCTCTTCTCCTGATGATGCGGAAGCAATAGCCTGATGACGACGAGGCTGCCAAGTGCGATCAGCCTCATCATCATCAATTAGGGTCTCCGCCTCACTACTAGCCCCCTCGGCTGCGTGTGGGTCAGGAGACAGACCTGTCTCTACACCGGCTACCGAGCCACTCTCCTCGCCACTACTTCTTCGCCTGGCTGCTGAAGAGGCGGATGTCTCCCCCCGTCCTGACCGCCCTCTGTTAGCTCTTCCTCACTGTACTGGATGACACCGGGAGCACTAGCCTCTGGCTGCGAATAGTGCTGCCTCGACCCCTTCCTCTGCTGCCACGTCTGCTCGCTCCTAAAACATTGCCTCCTCTGCCACTCCTCTGCATGTTGTCTGACATACTCTTTAATTAAATGATTCTGTGTCCCTGAGCAACAATTCTGTGTCCCTGAGTAACGTTTCTGTGGCCCTAAGTAACAGTTCTGTGGCCCTAAGTAACAGTTCTGTGGCCCTAAGTAACAGTTCTGTGGCCCTCAGTAACAATTCTGTGTCTGTCCCTGAGTAACAATTCTGTGTCCCTCAGTAACAATTCTGTGTCCCTCAGTAACAATTCTGTGTCCCTCAGTAACAATTCTGTGTCCCTCAGTAACAATTCTGTGTCCCTCAGTAACAATTCTGTGGCCCTCAGTAACAATTCTGTGTCCCTAAGTAACAATTCTGTGTCCCTGAGTAACTGTGGCCCTAAGTAACAATTTCTGTGGCCCTAAGTAACAATTCTGTGGCCCTAAGTAACAATTCTGTGTCCCTCAGTAACAATTCTGTGGCCCTCAGTAACAATTCTGTGTCCCCTGAGTAACAATTCTGTGTCCCTCAGTAACAATTCTGTGTCCCTGAGTAACAATTCTGTGTCCCTGAGTAACAATTCTGTGTCCCTGAGTAACAATTCTGTGGCCCTAAGTAACAGTTCTGTGGCCCTAAGTAACAATTCTGTGTCTGTCCCTGAGTAACAATTCTGTGTCAGTAACAATCCCCCTGAGTAACAATTCTGTGTCCCTCAGTAACAATTCTGTGTCCCTCAGTAACAATTCTGTGTCCCTGAGTAACAATTCTGTGTCCCTGAGTAACAATTCTGTGTCTGTCCCTAAGTAACAGTTCTGTGGCCCTAAGTAACAGTTCTGTGGCCCTCAGTAACAATTCTGTGTCCCTGAGTAACAATTCTGTGTCCCTCAGTAACAATTCTGTGTCCCTCAGTAACAATTCTGTGTCCCTGAGTAACGTTTCTGTGGCCCTAAGTAACAGTTCTGTGGCCCTAAGTAACAGTTCTGTGGCCCTCAGTAACAATTCTGTGTCTGTCCCTGAGTAACAATTCTGTGTCCCTCAGTAACAATTCTGTGTCCCTCAGTAACAATTCTGTGTCCCTGAGTAACAATTCTGTGGCCCTCAGTAACAATTCTGTGGCCCTCAGTAACAATTCTGTGTCTGTCCCTGAGTAACAATTCTGTGTCTGTCCCTGAGTAACGTTTCTGTGGCCCTAAGTAACGGTTCTGTGGCCCTCAGTAACAATTCTGTGTCCCTCCCTGAGTAACAATTCTGTGTCTGTCCCTGAGTAACAATTCTGTGGCCCTAAGTAACGGTTCTGTGGCCCTCAGTAACAATTCTGTGTCCCTCAGTAACAATTCTGTGTCCCTCAGTAACAATTCTGTGTCCCTCAGTAACAATTCTGTGTCCCTCAGTAACAATTCTGTGTCTGTCCCTGAGTAACAATTCTGTGTCTGTCCCTGAGTAACAATTTCTGTGGCCCTAAGTAACGGTTTCTGTGGCCCTCAGTAACAATTCTGTGGCCCTCAGTAACAATTCTGTGTCTGTCCCTGAGTAACAATTCTGTGTCTGTCCCTGAGTAACAATTCTGTGTCCCTGAGTAACAATTCTGTGGCCCTAAGTAACATTTCTGTGGCCCTAAGTAACAATTCTGTGGCCCTCAGTAACCCTGAGTAACAATTCAGTGTCTGTCCCTGAGTAACAATTCTGTGTCTGTCCCTGAGTAACAATTCTGTGTCTGTGTCCCTGAGTAACAATTCTGTGTCCCTCAGTAACAATTCTGTGTCCCTCAGTAACAATTCTGTGTCCCCTGAGTAACAATTCTGTGTCCCTGAGTAACAATTCTGTGTCCCCTGAGTAACAATTCTGTGTCCCTGAGTAACAATTCTGTGGTCCCTGAGTAACAATTCTGTGTCTGTCCCTGAGTAACAATTCTGTGGCCCTAAGTAACAATTCTGTGGCCCTCAGTAACAATTCTGTGTCCCTGAGTAACAATTCTGTCCCTGTAACAGTTCTGTGTCCCTGAGTAACAATTCTGTGTCCCTAAGTAACAATTCTGTGGCCCTAAGTAACAGTTCTGTGTCCCTCAGTAACAATTCTGTGTCCCTGAGTAACAATTCTGTGTCCCTGAGTAACAATTCTGTGGCCCTAAGTAACGGTTCTGTGGCCCTCAGTAACAATTCTGTGTCCCTGAGTAACAATTCTGTGTCTGTCCCTGAGTAACAATTCTGTGTCTGTCCCTGAGTAACAATTCTGTGTCCCTGAGTAACATTTCTGTGGCCCTAAGTAACGGTTCTGTGGCCCTCAGTAACAATTCTGTGTCCCTGAGTAACAATTCTGTGTCTGTCCCTGAGTAACAATTCTGTGGCCCTAAGTAACGGTTCTGTGGCCCTCAGTAACAATTCTGTGTCCCTGAGTAACGTTTCTGTGGCCCCTAAGTAACGGTTCTGTGGCCCTCAGTAACAATTCTGTGTCCCTGAGTAACAATTCTGTGTCTGTCCCTGAGTAACAATTCTGTGGCCCTAAGTAACGGTTCTGTGGCCCTCAGTAACAATTCTGTGTCCCTGAGTAACGTTTCTGTGGCCCTAAGTAACAATTCTGTGGCCCTCAGTAACAATTCTGTGGCTGTCCCTGAGTAACAATTCTGTGTCCCTAAGTAACGTTTCTGTGGCCCTAAGTAACAGTTCTGTGGCCCTCAGTAACAATTCTGTGTCCCTGAGTAACGTTTCTGTGGCCCTATGTAACAATTCTGTGTCCCTGAGTAACAATTCTGTGGCCCTAAGTAACGGTTCTGTGGCCCTCAGTAACAATTCTGTGTCCCTGAGTAACAATTCTGTGGCCCTAAGTAACGGTTCTGTGGCCCTCAGTAACAATTCTGTGTCCCTGAGTAACAATTCTGTGTCTGTCCCTGAGTAACAATTCTGTGGCCCTAAGTAACGGTTCTGTGGCCCTCAGTAACAATTCTGTGTCCCTGAGTAACAATTCTGTGGCCCTAAGTAACGGTTCTGTGGCCCTCAGTAACAATTCTGTGGCCCTCAGTAACAATTCTGTGTCTGTCCCTGAGTAACAATTCTGTGGCCCTAACTAACGTTTCTGTGGCCCTAAGTAACAATTCTGTGGCCCTCAGTAACAATTCTGTGTCCCTGAGTAACGTTTCTGTGGCCCTAAGTAACAATTCTGTGGCCCTCAGTAACAATTCTGTGTCTGTCCCTGAGTAACAATTTCTGTGGCCCTAACTAACGTTTCTGTGGCCCTAAGTAACAGTTCTGTGGCCCTCAGTAACAATTCTGTGTCTGTCCCTGAGTAACAATTCTGTGTCTGTCCCTGAGTAACAATTCTGTGTCCCTGAGTAACGTTTCTGTGGCCCTCAGTAACAATTCTGTGGCCCTCAGTAACAATTCTGTCTGTCCCTGAGTAACAATTCTGTGTCTGTCCCTGAGTAACAATTCTGTGTCTGTCCCTGAGTAACAATTATGTGTTCCTCAGTAACAATTCTGTGTCCCTCAGTAACAATTCTGTGTCCCTCAGTAACAATTCTGTGTCCCTGAGTAACAATTCTGTGTCCCTCAGTAACAATTCTGTGTCCCTGAGTAACAATTCTGTGTCTGTCCCTGAGTAACAATTCTGTGGCCCTAAGTAACGGTTCTGTGGCCCTCAGTAACAATTCTGTGTCCCTGAGTAACAATTTCTGTGGCCCTAAGTAACAGTTCTGTGGCCCTAAGTAACAGTTCTGTGGCCCTCAGTAACAATTCTGTGTCCCTGAGTAACGTTTCTGTGTCCCTAAGTAACAATTCTGTGTCCCTGAGTAACAATTCTGTGGCCCTAAGTAACGTTTCTGTGTCCCTGAGTAACAATTCTGTGGCCCTAGTAACGGTTCTGTGGCCCTAAGTAACGGTTCTGTGGCCCTCAGTAACAATTCTGTGGCCCTCAGTAACAATTCTGTGTCTGTCCGAGTAACAATTCTGTGGCCCTAACTAACGTTTCTGTGGCCCTAAGTAACAGTTCTGTGGCCCTCAGTAACAATTCTGTGTCCCTGAGTAACGTTTCTGTGGCCCTCAGTAACAATTCTGTGGCCCTCAGTAACAATTCTGTGTCTGTCCCTGAGTAACAATTCTGTGGCCCTAACTAACGTTTCTGTGGCCCTAAGTAACAGTTCTGTGGCCCTCAGTAACAATTCTGTGTCTGTCCCTGAGTAACAATTCTGTGGCCCTAACTAATGTTTCTGTGGCCCTAAGTAACAATTCTCTGGCACTCAGTAACAATTCTGTCTGTCCCTGAGTAACAATTCTGTGGCCCTAACTAACGTTTCTGTGGCCCTAAGTAACAGTTCTGTGGCCCTCAGTAACAATTCTGTGTCTGTCCCTGAGTAACAATTCTGTGGCCCTAACTAACGTTTCTGTGGCCCTAAGTAACAATTCTCTGGCACTCAGTAACAATTCTGTCTGTCCCTGAGTAACAATTCTGTGGCCCTAATAACG